ACAGCACACATCATCCCTTACTGGAGAACCTACTTGTCCTCTCCAGGTAAGAAAGAACTTTGCCTAACACAAAAATTGTATTCGGTGGATACCATCAACTTGAGTCCCACATCTGATGTCATAACTTTAAGCGAGTTTGTAGTCCTTGAATAGTTTCATCAGGTTGCCAAGACACTGAATAAAAGAGACTCGTTTTACACTCAAGAGGTTTATTCATTAAGTTTATATGGCTCAAGCTGTGCATTTGCAAATGTCAAGTCTTGAACTATCCCTTCATCATATTTGTAAAATACCCTCATGACATTTCTGTCTACTTCTTATTGACTTTCTTTATCAAGATTCTGTCAGTAGAAGTGGATATGACCATAAGTCATGGAAACAACAATTCCTTCATAACATACATGTATATGTTTTGTGGCAAATGCTTCAAACTTCAGCCTGTGGTTGCTGCCACCAGAGTCAAACTTACCCCTAAGTTATTGACATTTCAAAGAAAGGTGTTTCACAATGTTTTTATGCTTTCAGGACGCTGAATGGCATCTGGCTGCCTGACATCCGCAGTAAGGTTCATGCTGACTTCACCAAGGCCTACGACCTGCAGGAAGGGGAGAGGCTATGTGTTCTTGGTGAGTTTTGTGTTGTTTGTTGGTGTTGTCTTGGATACTAACCACTTCACCAAGGGCTGAGTACTGAGAGCTTGAAATTGAGGTGCCAGCATCAGGAGCAACTGCCATTTACAGGTAGCAGTAGCTCTCATGACCATGATATGGCAGAAGTAGTTGCCTCAGCAGAAGCATACCCCAAGTTTGTCATGGTATTTTGGACCTGATTTCCTGCTGAATGAATGAATGAATGAATGAATGAATGAACGAACGAACGAACGAATGAATGACCTTTATTGTACGTTTGTGCTCTAACAAGCTAAGTACAGGTCATGAAATAGACAAGGAAAATGATACAGCAATGATACTTAAACTATACATACTTATGTGATCTACTATTTACATGTTCGACTTCTTCTCGCCCCTTGACGCAGTTATAGATGTACGAGCATATAGAACTAATGATACATGGTTTGTCAAGTTTCATAAGAAATATAAATTTTTCTGATTCATTTAAATGTCCAAAGCTGGGGAACTTATTTATTATGTAAGAATATAGGAAATCTCTCTCATTTCTATATAACGTACAATCGACTACGAAATGATACTCATCCTCAATCTTATCTAAATCGCAAAATTGGCAAATCCTTTGCTCTAGAGGAATGCGGTTGTGTCTGCCTTTTTCTATGTGGAGTTTGTGTGAACTTATCCTGAGTCTTGTGATGGCTGTTCTGTGTCGAATATTTGTAATTTTCATATTTTCCTCGTGGTAAGTATTTTTTAGTAATCTGTATGTCCGTAATTTGTTGTTGTTCCGCATTTCTGATATAAAAGATTGGAGATACATGTCCTTAAGACGTTGGTTGATGACAAGGACAAATGCCACACATAGGCAAAACCGCTTTCCTCTAGTGTCTTACGAACACCAGCAGCCCAGCATTTGGCACCTACCGCATCTAAATCAACAGGGCGTCTGCAATGTAAAATGCATCATGGGGATGAGATGTGCCACTCTGTCCATCTTTATTGGGGTAGATTTTCTTAATTGCTTTTGTGTTATAACGATACTCCTCTGTGGTAAATAGTAAGACATGGTGTACGAAGTATGTGTATTGATACCACTATGGCTCAGATTCCTTCCTCCGTACTGGTACTCTGGGCATGAAACTTCCTGCACAACTGTAAGATTCTGTTAGGTCTTTGGCCATGGTTTCTCCTCTGCTTTGGTCAGTCCCTCCACACAACTGGTTGGAAGAGTATAAAGCCCTTTGCATAATTATGAACCTCTGTTTCTTATCTAAAGGCGCAAGCTGCCCACATTTCAGCCCACGAATATAGGCCATCTTACAGATGCACTCTGTCAGCTCCTCGATAACAGGTTGCATTTGAAACAGCCATTTGTCACAGCTATCATACATCTCCTGAGAGAGGAGGCCTACCACTGAAGTTTCAGATGCTTACATATAGATATATCATCATTAACCTTGATGATCCCAGCAAGTTGCCTGGGTAGTAGTAGCTTGACCCTTTTTACTGTGTTTGTCCACCTTGTTTGAATATACATTAAATTTTGTACTTGGCACACCTAAAATTCATTGTTAATTGCTTTTTACAAAGGTACATGTATCTGGTTTGTGGCTTGTTGTTTGCTGTATTTGTAATTCCTTTTCTTATTTCCAAACCAAAGCAAAAAGATGTCTTATCATCAGTACAAGTTTCAAATGCTTGCTTGCTGACTGTATGTTCAGCATTTTAAACACAACACATGGACACACAATGAACTTTCCTTGAAATCATATATATAGGAAACAAATACCCTATATTTTGTGTTCATTGTCTTTCTTGGTTGGATGTTAGATGCCCTTGCTGGGCCTCTATGGTAAACAGTTACCAGACTGTTAAAGGCTGATAGATAGCCTTAACTAATGTTGCTATCATATTATTTGACTGTTTACATAATCTGTGCCAGGAAAGTGAGTCAGGTATGATATTGTACTCAGAGGTTAAACTACTATAATGAAAGAAAAGCAACTTAAATATCTGACTTTAGAGAGGACAATATATTATTGATAAGGTTGATGTATTTTTGCAAAAATTACATATCTTCATCATCATGCTAGTTACTTGAATATTGGCAGGAATTCATTGCAAATTTGTTGCATCATAAAATGTCTGGATCTTTCAAATTGGCTTTTTTCATGACTCTGTATTGATTTTTTGGTAGTTTTGCACATGATTGGTACAGAAGCCTGAGGGAATTTAGCTTAACGGTAAATCCCACCCATAAAGCCCCTCAGGGTAGCTTACCAAGGAAGCCCTATGATGTTGCATATGTGATGCCCTGAAAGACGTGACCCTCCTAAGTATGGCAGCTCCTTCTAATAGTGTGCAAATTATTGTTACTGAGTAAGGACTTCGATGTACATGTAGATGGCTAGGCTTGTGGACCAGAAGCCATAATGCTAACGATACTATAACATGCTGGCCAAGGCATGCTACACCTGATTACAGAGAAAGATAAGTATATTTCTGTTAAAGTGCCCATGACACCAAAATACGACCTTATACATACAAACAAATATACATGTACATGTACATGGTTCTCCTGTTACGTACGTACATACATGCGAAGTTTCAATGCCCTGCCTTAGAAAAGTAAGCACAAGCCAGTCTCAACATACTATTTGCAGCTCTATGTTTTAAATTTGCATTTCTGTATGTTTTCTTGAGCTGACGTCACCTCGTTATGTCAGCTACAGAAAAAGCACAGATATGCAAAAATAAACTTAGAGATGCAAAAACAAATTCCCAAGGCGGGTGATTGGGAAGCTCGCCGGAGCGTCTTAAAAAATGCACTTTGGAAGGTCATGCAAACTCAATTTCTCAGTCATCATGATTAAAACCAACTTCAAGTAACTATATTGTATGTATACTTTCGATATTTATGTGTATATTACATTTTTTTGTGTCATATGATCTTTAAGGTATTCAAGATGTTGACTTTGCACCATTCTTGTAGAATCAATAGTCTTCAAAATTCCCTGTCTGTATTATGGTAATACCCTTATTGGTAATTAAAAGAAACCAGATGTACCTTTGACTTTTTGTATGATACAGCTTGACAGACTGGACATATAGAGCTCTTACTGTAGATTATGAAATATTCAACAACTCGAAGGATGTCTTGCACATGTGACATGAATATAGATGACATTATCATTTTCTACTGTCCTGTCCATCAGTTGTTGTGTTGTACCAAGGAGAACTTTGACATTCCCATACATGTATATGGATTGTCAGACTAATTACCCGATGTAGCACAAAGTATTTACAGCTGACATATGCTCATTACAGACTCCCAGATCAGCCTGTGTCCTTGGTTAGAAGGATAATGGAGTTATGTGAGAAATATGGAACAATTTATGGCATTGCTATATCCACAGGGCTTTGCAGGAAAGATTGATAAGGACCAGGTGGCAGCTAGTTTATAGACATACATGTACTAGTGTTGCTTACTTTATTGGAGTTATGGTATTGAAACCAGTGATTGGAGTATTAAACTTTGCTCTAATACTCTAAATTTCTTAATTGCTAGCTTCAGTCTTCTATAGACAATGATCACTAAATAGATGCTCAAGCACCTGGAAGCTTATCTCAGCTTTTCTCTGCTTATTGAAACATGGTAGGCACGTGTGTATACAACCTTCTTCATGTGGTACACGTATGATTGTAAGATGTGTAACATGGATTGAAGTGCTGTTTCTCAGCCAGAGTAAGAGACATATCAGGTGACCACAGTACAATAGGTTTTGTCTCAACAGTAACAGTGAGACTAGTAAAAAAATTTGTATAAACTTGGCCATCCATCCATCCGTTCATCCATCCATCCGTCCATGCGTTCATCCATCCATCCATCCATCCATCCATCCATCCATCCATCCATCCATCCATCCATCCATCCATCCATCCATCCATCCATCCATCCATCCATCCATCCATCCATCCATCCATCCATCCATCCATCCATCCAATCTATCCTAATTGGTTTTGTCACCCTTTGAATTTTCCCATGGTTTCAAAGGAAGCAGTTCAATCAGCAAGAATGTCATCCTGTAGGTGTGATCCATTCCTGTAAGGTCTGCCAGATCACCAAGCTGAGGCTGTTGTGTTGTGATGTATTGGGCATCACATGGCTTGTAGTCCCACGCTTACAGGAGCCATTTATCAGAGGAGGATTGGGAAATGCATTCGCTGAAATTTAGTCGTCAGGGGGAAGTCTGATAAATGATTTGCAAAAGTCGATACATTATCCAGCAATTTCCTCCTCTAACCAGTGCAGACCAGTGAAATTACAGGTACTCTTGCCTCAAGATCATTTGACATTTGTGGAATTTGTGCCACTCTTGTAAAGAAATGCTTTCTTGTAACACAAAATTAATTCAGGTCCCACTGCAACTTTCATGATGGTTTGCTTACTATGATTATGTAAGGTACTGGCTAGAACTCATCAAATATTGCCAGAATGATTGACAGTCATGACAGCAAGATACTTAATATGGTATACAAATAAGGATTACAATCATAACACTCACATAACCCAGAGTTGTATTCAAGAATCTGAGAGTAGCCTTACCATGTTGTTATCCCAGTATTATAGGACTGGCACTTAGTAATATATAATGTTACATTGTAGAAAGTTGCCTGACGTATACTAGTATACCGTAGCAATGTCAAGCTTCCTGAATTGTGTCAGATATATACATGAAGCTACTTAGGCATTTTGTTCTGGTGATTGACACATAGACTTCCAGTTAATACAGTTTCCAGTCACAAGGGCTTCTATATTATATGTAGTCTTTATTTACAATTTGTCAATTTTCATATCATTTGTGGCTAACCCCCTGAAACTGGGATCTTCAAAACTACCAATAGGCATGCAAACCACTTAATACTTAATACATGACACTTCTGTTGAAGTGAATAAACTGTAGTGGTGACGATGAGAGATTTATGTAAAAATCAAT